TCAGCCTCTCTGGTCGTCTCGTACCATGCCCTTATCCGAGACCGCCCTTCGAAAGGTGTCACTTGGAGTACGTATTTTATCCTCCGTCCTCCTTCTATTCCAATCCAAAGTCCTGTTCCCCTAGCCTCACGCAGCGCGCGGCGGACACACTCTGCCTCCTCAACTATGCACAGTCTGGTATGGAGCTGAWGTTCTATGATCACTAACACTAATGGTCCGTCCAGTCTCCCTACCACATGTAACGAGTACCGATCCGTCGTGTGTAGTGCAGTCTCGCTCATGTCCTGTCGCTACTTCCGTTACTTTGTCTTGCGTTGTCTCGCTCTTTGCAGATCGCTCACTAATTCCTTCGCGTGATACRCTTCTAGCCTTTACCCTCTCCAGAAAGTCTGATCTCCAYGCCTGGATAATCTCTCTTTCCTCTCTAAACAGACTCTCTAACTCTCTCGTCACGAGTTCAGCCCTACGCAACTTGCCCTCGCCCTGACACGACCAGATCTCCCTTAACTTGTCCCCCAACTTCTTTACCTGGTTCAAGAGTGGTTTTTTAACACACTTTCTCACTCTTCCGACTGCCTCACTCTCCTCTTCCATACTCAGTCCACATCTTTTTCCAGCTCACCCTCTCACCCTCGCTCTAGCTTTCGCTACCGTCTCATCGTGGTAGTGCTCCGCGCGCATATAACCATGAGACCATATCATCACATCATAGGAAATCGAGGTCTGGAAGGTCACTCGCGCCAGTACATCAGCTCTACGCTAGTGGATCAAATCCCTAGCTCGTGGTCTTCACTCACTCGCTGTCAAGTCCTCGTCTACGTACGCTCGGAGAAGTACTGTCACAGTGTATCCTGCGCTTACCAGTTGCTCTCCTACACGCATCACCGTGGCCGTCCTTCCCGGCATTCCCTAAGYTGCGGCCTCGAAGAGAAATCTCACATCCTCTAGCCCCGCGTAATCGATCTCTGCCCGTCTCCTGCAGTACCTAATCAGATCGATTGGCCTCAGACAGTCCACCCAGCTAGTAACGTCTATGATGTCGTCAAGCGTCTCTCTACTGGGCGGCCCCCACCTCACACAAATGGCGTAGTATACTTCCTTGTAGCCGGGCGCTAAGCCCTCCCAGAGCGCGTAAAGTGTGTGGTCCACTGCTCTACTCAAACGATCCACGCTCCCATAGGTCTGCCCTATCACGAAGGTAGGAAGTCCGAATCGCCAATCCTTTCTCTGGTAGAGGGTCGGATGTGGTGGACCGTATACCAAGCAGCTCCAACTCGTCCTCCCTCCGGAGAGTCTCGCCAATTGCTGATTAACGATCACTCTGGCCAACGCCTCGCTTCTCCACCAACTCCTGCTCGCCCCTGCGAGCGTTAGTCCTATCTCTAAGTCGTGTGCTCTATCCGCTATCAGATGTCCGACCCCTTCTAGATCATGAGTCCTCTCGGATCGTTCGTCTCGTAGTATCACTGCGCAGAGGAAGAGCCCCTCTGCGAGCCACGTTCCTAAGTATCGTATCGGTACACGCCCTGCCTCTTCTAACGCCACAAGAAGTGGAATATCGTATCCAGCCGCCGTCTCTCTGGGTCCTTCAAACTTCCTCCCACTATACGATTCAGACTCTCGTGAGAGAACATAAGCTAACAAGGCCACTAAATCACTCCTCATCTCTTTTCCTACTCTCGGTCAGCATCACTCTACTTCCTCCGATGCACCCCATCTCTCGACGTTGCTAACCCTTCAGACAACTCTCGCACTCAGGTCAAGTATGGTCGAGTAGGATCAGTAGCTAAGCTCACTCAACCGTCGCCCTAAGGTGCTCCTCTACCTCCTACGCCCGGACTGCTACTCCTATCCTGGGAAAATGGGCGTCTATAACGTCAATCT